GAGCCAACTAGGACGTGGCAAAGCTAGGCCTCACACCTGGGTTGAGTCTGACACACAGCCCAAGCTTTTATTTTTGGTGATGGGGCTTAAAATCTGGGCCTGAGCACTGTCCCTGAGAATTTTAGCTCAAGGCCAGCGCTCTACCACTTTGAGCCACAGCGCCACTTCTGGTTTTCTGGTGGTTAATTGGAAGAAGAGTCTCACAGACTTTCCTGCCCAGGCTAGCTTTGAACTGCCATCCTCAGATCTTAGCCATCCGAGTAGCTTGGATTACAGACGTGAGCCACCGGTGCCTGGCCCAAGCTTTGCACACTGGCCCAAGCTTCGCCCAGTATCCTAGTCTGTCTTTGTTGCAACAATTAGATGCCACAGACCAGTTAGGACTGGGATCTGAGCAGAGGCCCAAGGCTGCAGAAAACAGGTTAGCAATGGGCCCAGCTTCTCTCCAGCTCCCAGTGGTGAAGGCAAGGAGCCCCGAGAGGCCCACCCAGAAATTCCAACTTCCCCAAATAGAGGGTGTCCCCCAACTCTGACTCCATCAACCTCCATCTCTCAACTGTTCACAGAGCGCCTCCTGTTGGTCAGGTTCCATACTGAGTGTTTGACAATGAATATCGAAGCCACAGTCCCGACCTCAGGAGAAAGATACAAAAACCAGCCATGTCACCACAGAAGATGAAAGAAAGATTTTTCAGGTTCAAATGCAAGTTGCTAGCTTATGCTCTGGTCCTTTCGGCTGTGTAGAATAGATAAATAAGAGCTGGGTGCCAGTGGCTTACACCTGTAATCCTAGCTACTCAGGAGGCTGAGATCTGAGGATCACAGTTCAAAGCCAGCCCAGGCAGGAAAGTCCGTGAAACTCTTATCTCCAATAAAACACTAGAAAACAGAAGTGGCACTGTGGCTCAAGTGGTAGGACACTAGCCTTGAACTAAAGAGCTGAGGGACAGCACCCAGACCCAGAGTTCAGGCCCCATGACCGACAAAAATAAATAACATCCCAAATAGGAGGGAATAATGAAATCTGCCAAGAGGAGGGGTTAAGGGAACCAAGAGAAGTCTGTCCAGAAAATGACATGAGCTGGGCTTTGTAGGGCAAATAGGAGCCTCAGTCAGGAACAGGGGTAGGGAGGAGGCCATGCAGTGCATGGAAAAGCCTTGGAGACAGTGGAGGCTGTCCAGGGCCTGTGTTGGTGGGGAAGTGGCCAGAACAAAAGGCTGAGGTGGACAAGAGTCAGATGAGGCAGGGGGTGCAGGTGCCCAACTGAAGAACCTGGACTCTCTCCAGTACCCACTTAGCCCACATAAATGAGAACCAAGCATCTTCTTCAACTTCTCTATTCCAGTGGGGGGGGGGGAGGGTGGGAAAGACATGCGATGAAGGCAGAACAAACAAACAAACAAAAACCTCCACAAAAACAAAAAGATGATGGCCAAATTGGGAACCAGAAAAAAAGCATTCATCTGCTGAATTATTTCTAACTTGCTGCTATTTTCATTCTCATGCTGGTGGGAAAAACCAGAACACAGCAATGCTCCAGTGTCTCTCCAGGTGTCCGGAAGGGCCTCTTAGGCCAAGCCAGGCTGGCAGGCCAGCTCCTACAGACATCACTGGAACCAGCCTGGCTCTTGGCGCCAGCTCCTGGTACCTGGAAACCCAGTCTCCTCCTCCTCCAGTCACTCTGTGTGGGGTGAATTAGAGTCCAGGATTTTTCCAGGACAGCAATGCTTGGCAGGATATTTAAATGGCCTCAGGCTCCACAAGGGCCACCTGGGGTAGAGGGATGTGGGTTTTAGATTCTGGATGGGATGGGTAGGTGATAGTGTGAAGTTCCTCAGCTTAGAGGGGGCTAGAGGCCTGATAGTGGGTATGAGAAACTTTTGCTGTGTTTGGCCCCATGGAAGTACAGGCTGACTGGAGCAACTGAGGCTTCTGCTAATATAGTGAGGTCAAAGGTTGCCTCCTCCCCAGGGCCAGGGGACTTCCCAAACATGTTGAGTGTGCCTGCTAGACAGGGAAGGAGCTCTCTGTGCTACAGTTTGTCTCCTACAGGACACAATTTAGAGTCAGAACCTGCTGAGCTGGTGGCTGAGGTAGGATTATTATTAGTGCTAAGCAAGTCCAGGCCAATCTGAGACCCAATCTCAGAAAACTAAAATTAAAACCCAAACAGGGGCTGGGAAGGTGGCTCAGTGGTAGAGCGCTTGCCTTGCATGCCTGAGACCCTGGGTTCAATTCCTCAGCACCACATAAGCAAAAAGAAAAAAGCCGGAAGTGGCGCTGTGGCTCAAGTGGTAGAGCGCTAGCCTAGAGCTGAAGAGCTGAGGGACAGCGCCCAGGCCCAGAGTTCAGGCCCCATGACCGGACCCAAAAAATAAATAAATAAATAAATAAATAAATAAAACCCAAACAAACAAAAACATTCAATGCTAGCTGCCTTTATCAGCCAGACAGCCTAATGTCTGCTTTCTGCATATTAGTGTATCTAGTACCCACATATTAGTTTATTTAATCTAGGAAGTAGAAATTAATAACTTTTTTTTAACAGTTGGGGAAGTTAAGTCACAGTGGCACAAGGACAGTTGAAAGTGACAGAGCTGAAAAGAACTTCTACAGGCCAACAAAACAGTCAACAACACAATTAAAAAATAGGCAATGGGCTAGGAAGGTGGCTCGGTGGTAGAGTGCTAGCCTTGAGCTGAAGAGCTGAGGGACAGTGCCAGGCCCAGAGTTCAGGCCCCACGACCGGACCCCCCCAAAAAAAAAAAAAAGGCAAAATGCCAGATGCCAGTGGCTCATGCCTCTAATCCTAGCTAATCAGAAGGCTGAGAGCTGAGGATTGCAGTTCAAAGTCAGTCTGGGCAAGAAAGAATGTGAGACTCTTATCTCCAATTAAACACCAGAAAACCAGAAATGGCACTGTGGCTCAAATGGGTAGAGTACTAGACTTGAACAAAAGAGTTCAAGAAGCCGGGCAGGGCTGGGAAGGTGGCTCAGTGGTAGAGCGCTTGCCTTGCATGCATGGGCACTGGGTTCGATTCCTTAGCACCACATAAGCAAAAAGAAAAAAGCCAGAAGTGGTGCTGTGGCTCAAGTGGTAGAGCGCTAGCCTTGAGCTGAAGAGCTGAGGGACAGCGCCCAGGCCCAGAGTTCAGGACCCATGACTGGACCCAAAAACAAAAAACAAAACAAACAAAAAAAAAAGAAGCCAGCCGGGCACTGGTGGCTCACGCCTGTAATCCTAGCTACTCATGAGGCTGAGATTTGGGAGATGAGAAGGGATAGGAAGAGGAAACAAAGGAGGAGGCAACAATGCTTGATAAGAAATGTACTCATTATCTTGCCCATGTAATTGTAACTCCTCTGTATATTTTCACAATATAAAAAAAAAAGAGGCCGAGATCTAAGGTTCTCAGTTCAAAGCCAGCCCAGACAGGAAAGTCCGTGAGACTCTTATCTCCAATAAACCACTAGAAAACTGGAAGTGGTGTTGTGGCTCAAGTGGTAGAGCACTAGCCTTGAGCTGAAGAGCTGAGGGACAGCGCCCAAGCCCAGAGTTTAAGCCCCACAACTGACAAAAAAAAAAGTTAAACACAGAAACACTATAGATCCAGCAGCCATTCTTCATTATTATTATTATTATTTTATTATTATTTTGGTTGGTCATGGGGCTTGAACTCTAGGCCTGGATGCTGTCCCTCAGCTCTTCAGCTTAAGGTGTGCACTCTACCACTTAAGCCACACTTCCACTCTGGTTTTCTGGTGGTTGATTGAAGATAAGAGTCTCACAGACTTTCTTGCCCACGCTGGCTTTGAACTGTAATCCTCAGATCTCAGCTTCCTGAGTAGCTGGGATTACAGGTATAAGCCACCGATGCCTGAATTTTTTTTTATTGTGGGACTTGAACTCAGGGCCTGGGTACTACTGTCCCTGAGCATTTTCACTGAAGGTTAGCGCTCTACCACTTTGAGCCACAGTACCACTTCCTGTTTTCTTTTCTTTTCTTTTTTAAATTGTAGATAATAGTCTCACAGACTCTTCTGCCCACATTAACATTGAACGGTGATCTACAGATCTCAGCTTCCTGAGTAGCTGGGATTACAGGTATAAGCCACCGATGCCTGAATTTTTTTTTATTGTGGGACTTGAACTCAGGGCCTGGGTACTACTGTCCCTGAGCATTTTCACTGAAGGTTAGCGCTCTACCACTTTGAGCCACAGTACCACTTCCTGTTTTCTTTTCTTTTCTTTTCTTTTTTAAATTGTAGATAATAGTCTCACAGACTCTTCTGCCCACATTAACATTGAACGGTGATCTACAGATCTCAACATCCTGAGTAGTTAGGATTACAGGCATGAGTCACCAGCACACTCAGTGCTGTTTTTATTATTTTATTTTATATATTTTACCAAGGCTTTAATTCAGGGATCTTGAGGTCACTTGCTTTGCTTGCTTAGCTGGCCTTCTACACTTGAGCCATACTTCAAGCCCACCTTTTTTTTTTTTTTTTTGGTCAGTTTTGGGGCTTGAATTCAGGGCTTGGGCACTGTCCCTGAGCCTCCTTGTGCTTGAGACTAAAACTCTACCACTTGAGCCACAGCACTACTTCTGGTTTTTGAGTGATTAATTGGAGATAAGAGTCTCATGGATATTTTTTGCCTGGGTTGACTTTGAACCACGATCCTCAGATCTCAGCCTCCTGAGTAGCTAGGATTACAGGGGTGAACCGCCAGTGTCCGCCCAAGCCCACTTTTTTTTTTGTTTTTAGATTTTGTTTTATTGTAAAGATGCTGGACAGAGTAAGGCTATGAGTACATTTCTTGTCCGGCATTATTACCCCTTCCCTTGTTGTTCTCCCACTATCCCTTCCCTCCACCATCTCCCTCACTCCTCCCCCCGCCCCCACCCCACTCGAAGTTATAAAGTTAATTTCCAATATACTGTCTTGTGGGTATCATTGTTGCAATGGGTCACCCTGTGTCCTGGTTTCAGCATTTGAAAATGTGGAACACTTCACAAATTTACATGTCATCCTTGCCCAGGGACCATGCTAATCTCCATGCTAATTGTTCCAATTTTAGTATTTGTGCTGCTGAAGTAAGGACTAAGCCCACCTTTTTAAACAATTGTTATTATAAAGGTGAGGTACGGAAGGGTTACAGTTACATAAATCAGGTAATGAGTACATTTCTTTTTGGACAATGTCACCCAACCCAGCTTTTTGATAGTTATTTTGGACATGGAGTCTTGAGAACTTTCCTGCCCAGGTTGGCTCTGAACCTTAATCCCTGGGATCTCAACCTTCTTTTTTTTTTTTTTTTTTTTTTTTGGGTCTGGTTGTGGGGCCTGAACTCTGGGCCTGGGCGCTGTCCCTCAGCTCTTCAGCTCAAGGCTAGCACTCTACCACTTGAGCCACAGCGCCACTTCCGGCTTTTTTCTTTTTGCTTATGTGGTGCTGGAGTCGAACCCAGGGCCTCATGCATTCAAGGCAAGCACTCTACCACTGAGCCACCTTCCCAGCCCCTCTCAACCTTCTTAGTAGCTACTGGCACTCAGCCAGCAATTCCACTTGTAGGTACATGCCCCGAAGAACTGAAAGCATGAACAAACAGAACCCCGTGCGAGCCCAAACTGGCTTTGAACCATGATTCTCAGATCTCAGACTCCTGAGTAGTTAGGATTACAGGCGTGAGCTACCAGTGCCTAGTTTGGCTTTCTTTTTTTAAAAAAACTTTTGGCCTCCCATCTTAATTATCAGGGGCCACATAATGTACAAACCTCTCTGAGCCACATGGCTGCTTTTTATGCTATAAGGCCAGTTGCTCCAGGAGGAAAATGAAGGGACGAAGTAATTTATTATATATAATATTTAGTTATTAAATAGTTTACAAAAGGGTTTTAATTCCTGAAGTCAGGTTATAAGTATAACGCATCTTCTCCATCTTTCCCTCTCCCATCCTTGCCCTCAGATTACAAAGTTCAATATTTACATAATGTACACTGAATATAATGACTGCATTTTTTTTGGGGGGGGGTCTGGTCGTGGGGCCTGAACTCTGGGCTTGGGTGCTGTCCCTCAGCTCTTCAGCTCAAGGCTAGTGCTCTACCACTTGAGCCACAGCACCACTTCCAGCTTTTTTTGCTTATGTGGTGCTGAGGAATTGAACCCAGGGCCTCATGCATGCAAGGCAAGCACTCTACCACTGAGCCACCTTCCCAGCCCATATGACTGCATTCGCTCACTCTTCCTCCCTCCAGTCTTGTGTGCCCCCTTCTTTTGCCTCCCCATCCCCCAACTTGGAGAACATGTTTCAGCTTCCTGCTATGCATTTTGTTAAATGTTAGTTGTTCAGAGGAGTTACACACACCATTGAATTCCTCCCTTTTGGTCAACTTGTGTTTATATGCCTATAACCTGACCTGTAAATGTTATCAAGATATGACATGATATATCATGACTTGTGAGGGAAAATATGCACTGTCTCTCTGAAACTGACTTACTTCACTTAACATAATTTTTTTCTAGGTCTTTTTCCTTGAAAATACATTATTTTTTTCTGATAGAGGAGGAAAATTCCATTGTGTACATGAACTACATTTTCTCTTTCTTTTTTTTTTTTTTTGGTCAGTTGTGGGGCTTGAACTCTGGGCCTGAGCACTGTCCCTGCGTTCTTCAGCTTAAGGCAAGAGCTCTACCTCTTGAGCCACAGCACCACTTCTGATTTTCTAGTGGTTAATTGGAGGTAAAGAGTCTCACAGACTTTCCTGCCCAGGCAGGCTTTGAACCTTGATTCTCAGATCTCAGCCTCCTGACTAGCTAGGATAATAGGCGTGACCCACTGATGCCCAGCTAGGACCACATTTTCTTGATCCACACATCTGTTGTAGGGCATCTGGGCTGTTTGCATAACTTGGCTATTGTAAACAGTGCAGCAACGAACATGGGTGTGCAAGTGTCTTTACCAGATCCTCACTTGCAATGATCTGGGTAGATGCCCAAGAGTGGTATAGGGTGTTTAGTTTTGTTTTGTTTTGAGGAGTCACCAAACAGCCTTCCAGAGTAGTCATACTCATTTACATTCCCACCAACAGTGTAATGGAATTCTTTTCTCCCCACCAGCATCATTATTTATTTATGTATGTATGTATGTATGTATGTATGTATTTTTGCTGGTCCTGGGTCTTGACCTCTGGAACGAGGTGCTGTTCTTAGGCTTCTTTTGCTCAAGGCTAGCACCTACCACTTGAGCCACACTGCTACTTTTGGCTTTTTCTGTGAGTAACTGGAAATAAGAGATTCATGGACTTCCTGCCCAGGCTGGCTTTGAACCATGATCCTCACATCTCAGACTCCTGAGTAGCTATGATTATAGTCATAAGCCACTGGTGCCTGGCCTGTTGTTTGTATTCTTGATGATGGCCATTCTAACTGGGGTGAGGTGGAATCTCAATGTTGTCTTGGTTTGCACTGCCTTCATGGCCAAGGATGTTGAGCATTTCCTTATGTTTATTGCCCATTCTTTTTTTTTTTGGGGGGGGGTCCAGTCGTGGGGCCTGAACTCTGGGCCTAGGTGCTGTCCCTCAGCTCTTCAGCTCAAGGCTAGCACCTACCACTTGAGCCACACTGCTACTTTTGGCTTTTTCTGTGAGTAACTGGAAATAAGAGATTCATGGACTTCCTGCCCAGGCTGGCTTTGAACCATGATCCTCACATCTCAGACTCCTGAGTAGCTATGATTATAGTCATAAGCCACTGGTGCCTGGCCTGTTGTTTGTATTCTTGATGATGGCCATTCTAACTGGGGTGAGGTGGAATCTCAATGTTGTCTTGGTTTGCACTGCCTTCATGGCAAAGGATGTTGAGCATTTCCTTATGTTTATTGCCCATTCTTTTTTTTTTGGGGGGGGGTCCAGTCGTGGGGCCTGAACTCTGGGCCTAGGTGCTGTCCCTCAGCACTTCAGCTCAAGGCTAGCACTCTACCACTTGAGCCACAGCGCCACTTCCGGCTTTTTTCTTTTTGCTTATGTGGTGCTGAGGAATCGAACCCAGGTCCTCATGCATGCAAGGCAAGCACTCTACCATTGAGCCACCTTCCCAGCCCCTGCCCATTCTTATTTCTTCTGAGAAGTCTTTATTTAGCTCCTTTGCCCATTTATTAATTGGATTATCCATTTTTTCTTGAGCTCCTTGTATATTCTAGATATTAGGCCCTGGTTGAAAGTATAGCTGGCAAAGATCTCTTATTCTGTAGTCTGCCTTTTTAACTTAGGAACTGTGTCTTTTTATTTTTGTCAGTTGTGGGGCTTAAACTCAGAGCCTAGGTGCTGTCCCTGAATCTCTGTGCTCAAGGCTAGTGCTCTACCACTTGAGCTACAGTGTCACTTATGGCTTTTTCTGAGTAGTTTATTGGAAATAAAAGTCTCATGGACTTCTCTGCCCAGGCTGAATTTGAACCATGATCCTCAAATCTCAGCTTCCTGAGTAGCTAAGATTACAACGTGAGCCACTGGTACCCAGCTAGGAACTGATGTCCTTAGTTATGTGGAACTTTTTAGTTGGATGAAATCCCATTTGTTGATTCTCCAATTTGCTGTGCTCCTGGAATGCTATGCAGAAACTTCCTGTGTAAGCCAGTATGTTCTAATGTTTCTCCTACTCCTGCCTGTAGTAGTTTCAACATTTCTGGCTTCATGTTGTGGTCTTTGATCCATTTTGAATTGATGTTAGTGCAAGGTGACAGTTAAGGATCCAATTTTAGTCTTCTATTTATGGATGTCCAGTTTTCCCAACACCATTATGTTGAATGAGCTTTTTTTAAAAAATAAGTTTTGGAGCTGGGAAGGTGACTCAGTGGTAGAGCGCTTGCCTTGCATGCATGAGGCCCTGGGTTTGATTCCTCAGCACCACATAAGCAAAAAAAAAAAAAAAAAGCTGGAAGTGGCGCTGTGGCTCAAGTGGTAGAGCACTAGCCTTGAGCTGAAGAGCTGAGGGACAGCGCCCAGGCCCAGAGTTCAGGCCCCATGACTGGACCCCAAAAAAACAAAAAAAGTTTTTTATTGTGATAATACTGTACAGAGGGGTTACAGTTACATGAGCAAGGTAATGAGTACATTTCTTATCAAACATTGTTGCCTCCTCCTTTGTTTTTACCTCTACCATCCCTTTCCTCCTACCTCAACTATACTCCCCCCAGCCTAAATTGTAAAGTTCATTTTTCGACATAGTGTCTTGTACATCTCAGTGTTGCAATGGGTCCACCTATATCCCTAAACAATTTGTTTTTTCCCTTCCCCTCCCCAAATTATACCAACATCAAACACAGTGAAAACAGGAGTTATATTGTGGGGGAGGGACATACAAAGCAACAAAAAAATCACATGGTACCTTATAAATACGTTAGAAACAATAGCAAGAAATTTTAAAAAAGCCACTTGTGTCCCTATCTTGGGGTTTATTTCACTTAACGTCATCTTATCTGAACTTTTCTGCTTGTCCCAGACATATACTAGTTACTGCAAATAAGGGAAACCATCAGACCTATGTTTCTTTGGCCTGGCTTACTTCACTTAATATAATTTTTCCAAGTCTTTCCATTTCCTAACAAATGAGATGATGTCATTTTTTCTGATGGAGGCATAGAATTCCAGCATATATATATCTCACATTTTCTTGATCCATTCATCTACTGAGGGGCATCTGGGTTGGTTCCATATCTTAGCTATGGTAAATAATGCTGCAATAAACATAGTTGTGCTGGTAGCTTTAGTATGCTCTTGTGATCATTAGGGTAAATGCCCAAAAGTGGGATTGCTGGGTCATAGGGGAGCTCTATGTGGAGTCTTTTGAGGAACCTCCATACTACTTTCCAAAGTGGTTGAACAAGTTTACACTCCCACCAACGATGCAGTAGGGTTCCCTTCTGTCCACATCCTCTCCAGTATCAGTTGTTATTAAGAGTTCTTGATTATAGCCATTCTAACTGGGGTGAGGTGGAATCTCAATGGTTTTTTTTTTTGTTGTTGTTGTTGTTGTTTTTTTTCAGTGGTGGGGCTTGAACTCTGGGCTTGGGTACTATCCCTCAGCTCTTCAGCTCAAGGCTAGTGC